ATACATATGTAAGTGTGTGTGTGTGTGTGTATGTATATATATATATATATCTCTCTCTCTCTCTCTCATCCAGAGTGACCGAGCTCTGCAGCAAGCGACGGATCACAATGCAGCTCCCCAGCTGCTTTCTCAAAGTCACTTTTGCCCCTCTTCTTCTGGAGAGCTTCATCAAGAAAAAAGAAGTTGACCGGGCTTTGAAGTAACCAGGGAGAAAAAAGTATAGACTTTTATTTCATAATGGTTCCTTTAAGGAACGGGTCCCCAAAACAAGTATTAAAGTATGGTACTCCAAAGCCCAGCTGAAGTACCTTATGCACCTCAAGCCAAATGGAACGACTGTGCACAAGGTTGGGCTGCGGTCAAAAACTCGCAGCGAGCATCTTGGAGTTTAGTCCTGGGGGTTTATATGGTCTTTTACTGCCCTAGGGTGTATATGATATTACACTATGAACTTCAGGGCGGTTGTTGCCAACATCCGCTGTCTAAAGTGAGCCATCACCACACACAGCCTCTAAGCTAAGCGAGCAGCCGTCGCAAACGCACACTCGACCATCTCCTCAGAAGCAGAGAATACCGCCTAAAGCATAAACCCTAAACCCCAAACCCTAAACCCCACCCTAAACCGGTTTAGGGTTTACTGTTTAAGGTGCCCTAAGCCCTTAACCCCAAACCCTGAACCCTTAGCCCTAAACCCTCAACCCAAAACCCCTAAGCCCCTATGCATTGTACTGTAGGGGCCTTAATAATTAGAATAGGGTTTTGGGGATTTCTTATTATAACTATAGTATAACATACCCCCCAACCCTACTCTAATTATTAAAGGCCCGTAAAACCCCAGCCTAAACCCTTATAGTAGCCCGTCTAGAACCCTTTAAAGGAACCCCTATGAAACCCTATTCTAACTTCGAAGGCCCTAAACCCTAAACCCCTTAATCCCTGAACCCCTAAACCCTAAACCCCTAAACCCCTAAACCCTAAACCAATTATTTAAAAGAGCCGCCACATGACTGCTGCCACTGCCCCAAAAAACCAAAGCTCTGAGCCGAAGACCCAGTGGCCGCGCGCTCGTCGCCGAAATGGCGGTTAGAGCTCCTGGGCTCGGAACGGAGGTGAAACATATCAGGGTTTAGCGTTTCGGTTTTGGGGTTTAGGGTTTGGGGTTTAGGGTTCAGGGTTTATTTCAGGTTTAGGGTTTAGGGTTTAGGGTTCTGAATGAAACCTAAAACCCCAAAACCCCAAAACCCCAAACCCTAACACCCTAAAACCCTAGATCCCCTAACCCTAAAAACCCTAAAAACCAAAAAAACACCTATCACCCTAAAACCCCTAACACCCTAAAACCCCTAACACCCCTAAACCCTAACACCCCTAAACCCTAAACCCTAAACCCTAAACCGACCCCTAAACTGCCCTAAACCGTTCAAAAGAGAGCCCAGGTTCGAAAAACACCCGTTCAGGCTGCTCGGGCTCGAGAAATGGCGCCTTTCGGGGCCTCTGCTGCAAGAACGAAGGCCTCAGGGCTTTTAGGGCTTTTAGGGCTTGGGGTCTAGAGTTTAGGGTTTAGGATTTAGGGCTTCAGGGTTCGGGCTTCAGGCTTGGGGGCTAGGGCTTGGGGTTTGGGGTTTGGAGTTTAGGGTTTAGGGTTCGGGGTTTGGAGTGTGGGATTTGCGGGTGTATAGACAATGTGCGCACACTCTCAAGCAGAAGAGCTCATCTGAGAGGCTGACACCGGTGGCTCCTGGGGGACCTCCCGTAGCACAGGATAGGCTGGGTTGACTACTTGGAGGCCCAGGGGACTTAGTAAGTAGGTTATAAGTAGAGTTATAAGTACCCTAAATGGAGTTACCCTAATTATAACCTTACTTATAACCGNNCTAAGTCCCCTGGGCCTCTAAGTACCGTCCACGGCTCCAATACTCCGCAACATGCACCCCTGCCTGGTAGAGCTCTTTGCCGTGCAGCTGGGGCTGTGTTCCACGATCTTGGAATTCTCGCTGCAGCTGCGACTGCTGCATCTGTAGCTGTTGCAATCGCATTCGGTGCAGCTGCAGCTGTTCTGCTGCTGCTTGTTGCATTTGTGTCTGGGCTTGGAGCGTGCGCATTGGTTGTAGCCCATCACTGTTCTGCACAGCAGGATTCATGGGACGCATTGACTGCATTGGCATGTGATGCCCCCCGTCACCCGCAAAGGGGCGCATGTCGTGCGGCGCAAAAGCTTCTGGGAACCAAGGGCTTGGCGCCTCGACATACCGATCTGCATAGCCCATCCCACCATATTCCAAGTAACCGGGACAATACGTTGTCATCTGGCTCCTGCTTTGAGGGTTACGATAGCTTCTGGCATTCGCGGCTGATGAGCGCGACGACTGGGAGGAACCTGCAATCGAGATCACAACAGCTCCAAGCAACATGGGGCGTGGGTGTGCGAGAAACAAGCGGCCCCTCTGAGTTGCACACAACTTCCGCCTTAAACCCCAAACCTTAAATCTAAGGACTTTAGGAGGGACCCCCAATAGGGACCCTTAATCCCACTAATTACCTTAAATTGCCATTGTAACCATGTATAGTCCTTATATGCCCCTTATATAGCCAGTTAGTCTCCATATTAACCCCAATAACCTACAAGGGTCCCCATAAAGGGTCCCTCCTAAAGCCCTTAGACTAAACCCCAAAAAAACCTAAACCCTAAACCCTAAACCCTAAACCCGAAGCTCAGAGCAGGCTCAGCTGCGGCCTTGGGATCTGCTGTATCTCGACTCTGTCCAAGATGCATCTCCCGAGGATTCCTGGCCAGATCTTCGAACAAGGGTTTAGGGTTTAGGGTTTAGGGGCTTGTTGCTGGTGGGCTTGCCGTCGGCCAGCGTCAGGTGGTACATCTTCAGCACATCGGAGGCCAGCCGATCTGGCACTTGCAAAGCCCGGTCCGTGATACCTTCGACCCACCCTAAACCCTAAACCCTAAACCCTATGTCAAAAGCCGAGTGCAGGACTTCATGGTCCCCCCGACGCCTACCTGCCTTCGGGCATCGACCTGGAGCACGTTGGTAGGAAACGATAGAAAGCACCACTCCTACGGCTGATGGACAAAATTCTGCATGACCCAAATATAGTATAGTACCATAAATCCCATAGTTTAGGTACATAAGATCATGCAGGATTTTGTCCATCAACCGTATTTCCGTATCTTGTCTTTCACCCACCCCTACAAGCATGTACCTCACCAGAAACCTCGAAAAAACGGCCGAATCCCCAAAAGAGACCTAGCCTGGCTCGGGGCAGAAGTCTGAGGTTAGAGGGTTTGGCGGCTGGGGTGATTGTGGCGCACAGGAGCCTTAGAAGGGACCCCTAATAGGGACCCTTAACCCCATTACCTTAAATAACCATTGTATAGTCCTTACATACCCCTTATATAGCCAGGTAGTCTCCATATTAACCCCAATAACCTACAAGGGTCCCTATTAAGGGTCCTTCCTAAAGCCCTTTGCATGTAAGCACGCTACCTGCTACAGCTGCCAATTGAAAGCCCGAACTCTCACCATTCCGACCTTTGAAGTCAGGGTCGATTTGTTCACCTTAATAATTAGAGTAGGGTTTGGGGTATATTATACTATAATTATAATAAGGAGCCCCCGAAACCCCATTCTAATTATCAAGGCCCCCTACATTACCTCCTTCTGACTCTCAAGCTTTAAAGCTAAAGAGTCCCTGAACTAAACCCTAAATGATTAAGCCCTAAACCCTTCTCCCTTGTAGACAAGATGCACTGCTGCTGCGCAATCTGGCCGGTGACGGATCGATCGACCTTCGTCGAGCAAACTGACACCAGCGAGGTGTAATACAGGGGCCTCAATTAGAATAGGGTGTTGGTGTAGGCTAGTCTCTAAAAATACAAACATAGATAGAAAATAAAAAAACATATACATGTAAATAAATATAAGCTAAATAAAACCCTAAACCCTAAACCCTGTATGTGTATATATATATATATAATATAATATATATATATATATATAACAAGGAATCCCAAGGACTCCTAGTCTGATTTTGTCGCCGCTGTATTACAGCATAGGGGCCCCCTCAAATCATCCCTACTCTCCTGGTTGGAGCGTAGGGTTTAGGGTTTAGGGTTTAGGGTTTAGGGTTTCGGGGTTCAGGGTTTAGGGTATGGGCATTGGGGATTTAGGGTTTCGGGCGTAGGGTTTAGTTTTCCGGGGTTCAGGGTTTACAGTACGGGCGTTGGGGGTTTAGGTTTTAGGGTTTGGGGCTTAGCGCGGCCAAAGTCCCAGCAGCCTTGGGGGTTCATTCAAGGGTGGCCGGGCTACGGCACCAGGAGCTTCTCAGCTCAAGATTGATGGGTTTAGGGTTTAGGGTTTAAGGTGTAGGGTTTAGGGGGGCTTTGAAGTTTTCTCATGAAAAGTGGAGAAACAAGCACAGGAGAAACAGGTATAGACTGTTAGTTGACAATGGTTCCTTTAAGGAAGAGGTCCCCAAAAAGGGTATTCAAGCATTAAGCCCTAAACCCTAAAGCTAAAAACAGTATGGTACTCCAGACCAAGGTTTGGGTATTAGCGCTGCATGCATGGGCCTCGGGCATTGGGATTTCGGGCTGACAGAAAGTCTCAAAGTTTAGGGTTTAGCGTTTAGGGTTTAGGGTTTAGGCTTGAGAGTTTCGGAGGTAAGGCGGGAAGGGCCTAAGGAGGTTAAGGCTTCAGGGTTTGGGGCTTACCATGTAAAATTTAAGAGCCCTAAAACCTTAAAGCCTAAGCCCCCTCCAAGGACTGTACGTACACCCGAAACCCTTTAAAGCCTAAAGCCTAAATCCTAAAACCCCACCCCCTTAAAGCCAAAAGCCTTGACCCCCAGAATTCGTTTCAGACTTAGCCGGGCCGCCTTGTTGGTCAGGAAGCGCTTGGAGCAGACTGACAGCAGGCGCAGCACACCTGGCTTCGATCCAGTGCTTCTACAGGTATAACAACGGTCATGGCGAAAGCAATAGCTACACCAATCCTAATACTGATACGCTCAGAATACCAATAACACTAAGAATATAAAGAATACTAGTAACACCAGTAACACTAATGATACTTATAATACTGACAATACGAAAAGTACTAATTTGACTAACTGCCCCAACCATTCTCAAAAGTCTAATGGTTCTGACAATAAGGTTTTTGGTGACTAAACCTTACAAAACCCTAAACCCTAAACCCTAAATCCTAAACCCTAAACCCTAAACCCTAAACACAAAACCCTAAACCCTAAATCCTAAACACTAAACCCTCAACCCTAAACCGTGGCTTCAGGCCCAGAGCCACGACTGAAGGAGTCGCACAAAGAAACCTGAATAATCCGACTACGGGTTTGCGCCCTCAAAATACAGTTGCCTTAATAATTAGAACAAGTTGTTTTGTTCTTTTTTTGGGGGGGGTAATAGAGTACCACTGTAAAAAGAACGCGAAGGAATATATTGCTAATTCTTTAGGCTTCTATATTATCCGGCGTGCGAGACCTGTGCAGTGATTGTCTTTCGCAGTCCTAAGATAGAAAAGCCACGCAGCGCCTTCTCCACACGAACACTACTAGGAAGACCAATTCGGCCCTACACTCGGAAGTAGACGTAAAAAAAGCAACACTAAGAACAACAATACAAGCAGACTCACGACTTTAGGGGTTGAGCATCCACCTGAGACCTCATACATACATATCTACATACATACATACATACATACATACATACATACATACATACATACCTACATATCTACATACCTACATACCTACATACCTACATACCTACGTACCTACCTACGAAAATCGGAGCACGCCACTGCGAAGTGCCACTCGCCATTTCTCTCGTGCCATTTCGAGCTGAAGGGCAGCTCGCTGGCGTGTGGTGCTGAAAAACTACGTACCTCGTAACTCAGCTCATAATGGCCGAAAAGCTTTAAAATTTTCTGTTTGTTACAGGGGTTTAGAGTTTAGAATCCACCAACCGGACAACCCAAACATCTGTGCCAGATCGTTGCTGATGGCATCACCAACAGAGAGCCCAAAAAAACCTTCACCCCCGATGCCTTACAGGTTGAACTCCATTCAGTTCCAAAAACCCCTTGCAAAAGAAGCCGTGCCTGTCTCCAACGCCACCTGCACCGTCAGCGATGCGGGAAGGTCCTTGGCTGAAGGTGAGTTCCGTGAAAGTAGCGGCGGTAAGGCTTCATCAGTCATGTTAGCAATACCTCCACTCCCGCAATCTGGAGGTCTGATGACTGTCGTGTGGTCGTCATAGTCGTTGTCCTCCTCTGTCGATCTGTTGCTTGTCCGCGCGAATATTTCACAACTAGTGCGAGGAGGGCATAACGAAGTACGACTGCTAACGCTGATGCCAGTACTATGTTTAACTATGCTACGGCATACTCTACACCGACAACTAGGACGACGACGACGACAACGAAGGCAGCAGAGGCACTGCTGCGACGACTATGTGCACTTCCTATGAATGCTGTACAAGTGATGGCCATAGGGACGCCACGGTCTTGATCTTTGTCGCCACCACCGTCACCAAGAACATCACCATTGACGTCAACGCCAGTGCAGCAAACCCTCGCAAGAGACATCGTCATCACCACAGCCATCATCATCATCATCATCATCATCACCATCACAGTCATCATCATCATCATCATCATCATCATCATCACAGTCATCATCATCACAGTCATCAGCAGCAGCAGCAGCAGCAGCAGCAGCAGCAGCAGCACTACCTCCACCGCCACATCGACATCGGAGCCGGGAGTCATCCGCACAGGACCATGAAAAGAAAGACCCCCTACTTGGAGGTTCATGGGCAGTTATAAGTGGGGTTATAAGTTATAAGTGGGGTAACTATAACTAATTAAAACCCAAATTGGGGGGGGACTTATAACTCCAGTTATAACTACCCATGAACCTCCAAGTACCTTGTGTCTAAGGACTGAATGTATTGCGAACATCTGCCACAGTCTGGGAAGAAACTCGGCCACGGCTAAGGGTTCAGGGTTTGGAGGTCTCTATGCCATTCACCACTGAACATTTATGGACTATGAGGGAACTATGCTCTCGGCTTAACATTGTAGCAACCCAGAAAACCCAGACCCTGAACTGTAGGCCCCGGCGCCCTCAGATCTTGTATCCTCGAACCCTTAACTTCACATCTCAACTATTCAAGACCTACACCTGGGATCACAACCTTCAAGGCCTAAACCTCAGGACACAGATCTCCATGCCGAGTCTCCAGGGACCTCGGCGGCTTCTTGTAGAGGCGCTGCATGGGGAACACTTTCTGAGGCATTTTGCCCAGCACCTGCTCACATTAGGGCTGTAGGGGCCTTAACAAATAGAATAGGGTCTGGGGGGTCCTTTGTACTATAATTATAATAAGGAGCCCCCAAAATAGTAGAGGTAATTATTGAGGCCGCTATATTAAGAGGCTGAGGGATCGATGGCTGCGGGTTCTGAATCTGGGGTTTAGGGCTCCGGTTCTGGGCTTTGGTGCTCGGAGGTGTAAGTTTGGAGCTGCGTGCTGAAGGTAATATAGGAGCCTTAATAATTAGAATAGGGTTTTGGGGTAGATTATACTATAATTGCAATAGGGACCCCCCAAAATAGTATAGGTAATGATTGAGGCCCCTATATTGCTCATAACAGAAACCCTACGGCTCAGGATTCAGGGTCCGGGACACGTCGTAACATCCCACACTCCGAACCCTGACCCCAAGGCGAAGTTGGTTTCTGATGAAACAACTCAAGTTTTCCTGGGTACTTGGAGGTTCATGGGTACTTATAAGCGGGGTTATAAGTAGGGTAACTGTGATTATAACTCATATTAACCCATATTAGGGGACTTATAACTCCACATATAACTACCCATGAACCTCCAAGTAGAATTCTCATAGTCCATCATACCCGTACCCCAAACCGAAAAACTTATAGCAGCCCGTTTTTTTGTATCCCTTACCATGCCAGGACCTTCGTGGGCTGTCAAGAGATCCATCCACCGTCAAGCTCTCCGGGTTTGAGCTTACGTCTCCTGGGTTGTGGGGTTCGGGATTCCTGGATAGGGTTTAGGGTTTAGGGTTTAGGGTTTAGGGTTTAGGGTTTAGGGTTTGGGGTTTAGGGTTTAGGGGGCGCAGAAACCATCATCCAAGACTCTAAAACCGTGCAACGACAAGGCAAAGCAGAAAGTAACAGCAGCAATAACTGCCATGTGAAGTACGTCCGCTGACAATACTCATAGTCATCGTAGCAGTGGTAAGAGAGAAAGCAGTGACAGTCACCGAAGCTGCAGTCATCATAGCAGCAAGCGCCTTGTCCAAGGGGAGGTCGACCGGCGTGCTTCCGTCGCGGCTGTCCTGTAACATGCGTTCGTACTGTCAGGCGGATGAGAAGTTCTTCTGAACCCTCAAAGTCAAACCAAGGCCCTAATTCTTTACTACCACAAAACCGGAACTGCCCCAGAAACTGCGCTAAAAAACCTTAAACTCTGAAAATTATACCTGTAACCCTCAGCCTCGCGACTTCGCTGCATCTGTGAGTTCAGGCTGTGGAAGCGAGGGCTTCGGGTTCAGGCTTTCAGGAAGCTGCGGTCAACAACAGCAAAATCCGTATCATTCTCGGCGCTACTTCTTCTATGGACATGCTTAAACGGTTACATACATACATACATACATACATGCATGCATGCATACATACGTACATACATATATCCATGCATGCATGGATACAGACAGACGTGCGTACCTACCTACGTACATGCGAACATGCACACATATATATTCCAAAAAGCTTGCCAAAAATCCCCTGAGAAACGCACACATCTCACCTTGTAGGGTTACACATACGATTGAAGTACGCCCTGCGATCACAGAACGACATGCCTCTACACTCTACACTCACAAGTCGCAGGGGGCTTGGACGGAAGTTATAACCCCAAACCCCAAAACCTAAACCCTAAAACCTAAACCCTAGACAAGAGGGGCGCCTTCACCACCACCTTCCCGTCGCCGGTGATCGTTCCTAGGCCGGGGAGCTGTGCAAAACCCCAATTCTAGGGCTGCTTCCAGAGAGGCTGATATCCCCCTTCCCGAAGGCTCCCGAAACTGTCTAGGGCGTTTAAGAGTCACTTCATGAACGTAAGTATAAGTGATTGCATACATATATATATATATATATATATGTCTGTGTGTGTGTGTGTCTACGTGTGTGCATGTACATGTACATACGTCTGTTTGTGTGTATACATATGTACATATATATATATATATATACATATACATATGTATGTATATATATATATATGAGCCCG